CAGGAATGCACCATCACTCAGTGCAGACTGCAGAAGTACAATCCAGACCTTGGTCTTCACTCTTTTTCATTCACATTACAACTTAAAGACACTGTTATTATAGCAAAGTCTGCTGGCATGGATTTTCAAGTATGGCAGTTATCTCTACCTTAGTCTGGAGAGATTACCATGTCAAAAGCTCAAGCCTGGTAGGCACTCATATGAAAAAACATATCTAGTATGGTCTAGAAGAAAATGCTTAGGAACATGAGGCAAAAACATACTTCTGGAACAACCATTCACTCTGTAAGTCGCTCAACTATCATCAAGTTCCAAAAGATGTAAGTAGAGAGAATTATTTTTTCTTCCATAGAAGTTTTCACCGATTTTGAGTGGTCTTGTCTCCCAATTTGGGGAAATAAGGCTCTCACCATTCATGGTGAAGACACTGGGAGAAGCAACCAGTATTACATAGAATTATTGTAATAGGCTTTTTATATAAATCAGAGTTCATTATTACTAGCACTTGGCATAGGACTTTTACAGTAAAATACTTATTACATTTTACCTTGGCTGCTGCTTTCTTCATCAATTCCAAAGCAAGTTTTGTATTCTTTTTCACACCTTGGCCCTAGGAAATGGACATGTGAAACAATCATTGTTCACAAATACAGAATACAGGCTGATGAAAATTCACATATACACATTCAAAATGCATTTTAACATGGATACTATTATTTACTAGGTGTTATTCGGCCTTAACCAGCTACATCTTTCATTCACAGCTTCACGAAATCTCAATGATTCAGTCTAGGAAAAATTATTTCACCAGTCTATCCAAGTGATTCTTATGGGTAAATAATATCACAAATCTTAATTTTCAGCAACTAAGGAAGAATGAATAGCATTCAAAAGTGCATAGATTGTTCATGATTTTGCAATGAGTAAGAGCTCTCAGCTTTCCTGAAAAAGGATATCAGAGTGTCTCCAGAGGAAACACAAGGATGTCATGCTGATGGCGTTCATATAAATTAATTCCAGACATGGGTCAAACAGACTATGGGTGCTCAAAATTAATAGAAGCAAAACTTAAGCAAGCATTTTGTAAAGAACAGCTTTCCACTGGCAAACGAATGAGACAAAGACCTAACAGTTCTTCACTAATATCTCTGACCTTCAGTACTGCTGAATGTCTTATCGGTCACACTGCTTATCTGATAAAACTTATTGACTCAGGTGCTGTTATGCCTGAGTTTAGCCTCTGCTGTCTATTGCTTCTAGCAGGAGAAAACTAACTGCATGCAGAGACTAGTTAATTCCTACTCAGAAAAAATTTCCCAGAGATCTAATGAAGGGCATTCTAAGAAAGGATTGAACTTTCACCTACCTCTCTACACCAAGGCCTATTTCTACTAGCTGATTAGATTTCTGAGGTGACAAGCCATCAGGAAAATTTAGGATCCACGATTTAGGTGGTATTTCAATCCTGAATCTGGCTAGGAACAAAGTGACTGAACTGCTTTTAACTTGCTCTTTTAAAAATTTTTGTGTGTACCTGGTAAAAATCAACATTAGCTTCATAACTATGGATTGATTTTCAGAGTAAATCTAAAAGCATTTGTATACACTCTCGCAGTGTGTCACTGCAGATAACTTACAAACATCTGTGTCATAGGAATGTTTTTTTTGAAGCGAAAATATGAAACATGACTTACCTTAAATAACACAATAGCATAATCATATATTAGCACTGGGTCTTCCGTTTCTATTGCACCCTTTGCATACCATTCTATTGCAGCTTCAGGATTTTTTGCCACTCCTTGTTGGCCCCAAAACAGCATCTGAGCCAATCGTTGCTAAAAGAAAATAACATAAGGACTAATGTTATAAAAGGCTAGTTTTGAAACTGGAACTGCAGGAGTAGACTTTTGCAGGCTTAAACGGATTTTAAATGTGTGAAGAAACTAGTTATACATCATCAACAGTTCGAAAATAATTGGTTATCAGGAATATTCAGAGGCTTCCCGGTGGTGAAATGTATCGATCTTAAATCTACAGCAGGGTTATTTTTCACAGCTGTCAGTACCATGAAAGTCTGGCTTGCAGAGGTAAGCCATAAAGACAGATTTGATGTGTGCAAATGGCTCAGTATTACAATATATTGCTGATGGTCTCAGATGAGCAGCAATAACTGCACCGTGTCAAACACAGGCCCAGGGAAAATGATCAGAGAATAAGGTTGCTAAGTCTAGACAACTCTTCCCTTTTGCCTTGCATCACTGTTGCAGCTTTTTGCATGGTCACTGGATATTATCAGACAGAAACATGGGAAATAGTTCAAGCTCATAAAAAAGAAGTAATTCTGGGTGGAAAGAGAAAATGTCCGCTTCACTGTCCTCTACAACTTTCCTACATAGTCTGTAGATGTACATACATGATGTGTGAATATACAAAGAAAATGGAAATGTATTACTTTATACCTGTGCAGCTGCATTTCCTCTTCTTGCTTCATGTTTTAACCACATAAAGACATCACCATTTTCTTTTGTTTGAGCGTTCAGCAGTTCATCATCCATCAGCCTTATAGTTTCAACAAAAGCCTGAAGAGTAGATGAACAGAAAAAAATTACTAAACAATGAATTCATATACCTGCCACGAAAATGAAAACAGGGCCCATTTCCCGTTTATCGCTAAAAATTTGTGATCAATTCTGGGTTTTAAAATCCTCACCACCCCTCTGCTGGCCAGTGCATGAAGAACCATCCTTACATCCAGTGTAAAAATCATTCACTGCTTTGTTACAGTACAAAACTGTAAGTCCACTCTACACTGGAAAGATATGCCAAGATGTCAACAACTGAAAAAAACTCCCCACCTTTGTAGTTTTAAATGCACTTAATAATGGCAAAGAAATGCTTTTAAGCCTTTTAAGGTTTTTTAGTTTCTATAGAAATCTCTCTTAAAAAAAAAAAAAGCCTGGCAGAAAGCTTAATGAAGACTTGCCCTACAGTACACTTACCCAGGTGGCTGTCTGCTGATTTTTAGTTCTTCAGCAACCAAAATCTCTCTATTTTTTGTACAATAATCATTCGTTCTGATAAGCCAGGATCCTAGTACTGGCCTACCTTGAATATTCTTTACAGATAAAACTGTGTTACCTCCTGTTTAGCAGCTCATTCTAAAATAAATTTACGGTAACTTTATCTGATCATACAGCTATTTAACAGCCAAACCTTTACATTCAATTATAGAAAATGTGTAAGTATGGAGAGGACAACTCACCTTTTGCATGAACTTCATGATGTTTGACTACTGAAACAGCAGATCAGTTGCTTAATAAACACGTCCAATTATATTAATAATTAAAAACCTGAGTGAAGAATTAGGGCCCAAGAATAAGACCTAGACTTTACTGAAAGATAGGCACGTGGACAATTCTGAGCATTTGAGCCTAACTTTGATTTGGTCTCCCCCTTGCTAAGAAACAGAGTAATGATACCTACATGTAATCTGGGGGCTTTTGTAACAATCACGGAATCATAGAATGGTTTGGGTTGGAAGGAACCTTTAAAGATCATTTAGTCCAACACCCTTACCATGGGCAGGGACATAAATCAGATGAGCTAGTATTTGTAAATCAAGACAAAAATGTTTTGGCCACATAATTAATACTAATATATGAAAAAGTCATTTGCTCAGAAAACAAATTCAGATACACTTATTACTCTTTTACCTGTTCCCCTTTTATAGTGTGCTGATCCAACGATGTCTTTATTGCAATATTACTGTAATAAGCATATGACAGCTCCAAATCAAGTGGATAGTTATTAATGCCTTGGTAATGTTTATAGCCAAGATTCATCACAGCAAGTCTCTCATTCCCCTGAGCGCCAACCAAACTATACAGCAGTCCCTGGTAAAAATCAACAGATGTGAACAAGACTGAATTCACCGCATATCTCACAAGTTTAGCACTTTGGTGGAGATTTACAGAGAACAGAGTGTTTGTACTGGTAGCTGATATACTAGCTATACCATGCAAACACAGTTACAGAATCAAGCACAGCCCTAAAGTAGTTAAAATGTCTTCTATATGTATAGAAAGATTTGAAAGAAAAACTAGACTCTCTAAATACTTTTCAAGTATTGCATTTATTCTGCCACCACTAAGTGTGCAGTAATTTTTAATGCCACTTTATTATAGTGTTAATTATACTCTGACACCTTTTATACTCAGCAGTGACTTAACTAGTCTCACTGATGTCAACTGGAGTTTTTGCCCTGAATTCATTGGGAAGATAAGGAAGTTAACAAACAGGACTTGAAAATTTTACCCTAAGGATCTGACAGGACTAGAAGGATGGGACTTGTGTCTGACAGCATTTCAGCACAAAGCTTCCTTGAGATACAGGTTAATTTGTGCTAGAAATAGTCTAGGTACCGCACATTTGCCAAAACCACTACTATTATTATTTTACCTGCACAGTAATAAAAACAGTGCTGTCCCATCTGCGCTGGATATTAAGTTATTTCCTACACTATCTGAAGTGGATCCAATAATGCAATTACTTAGCCTCCATAATTAGCACTAGGTATACTCCATAATTAGGGTATAAAAAAGGTTCCCATCTCAGTTTTCTTGTGTTTGAGAAACTGCAGTGAGCTTGGTCTCAGACTGGCCTCTCAGGCGTTCTGACTTAGTATCCTGTAACCACATTAGGCAGGTCTGCTATTCTTTATGAGCATTTTGTATTACACTACTATATCACAATTAAATATCTGTCAGCAATTTCAGTATAGCCCTCTTCCAGTGACATATAAACACCTCCCCTTTATTTGACCTTGCAATGGAATCGCATGGAAACATTTCAGTTAATTGCAACCTGCCTAAAAGGTCAGGAGTTCACATGCTCTGCAGTTGCTCAGCTGAACCATGGCCAGTTTTTCTCCAAAAGAAAACTGTTCTACTTTGGTTACCTTTAATAATTTGATCATAATGTCCTCAGTGCCACATTTCTGCAGACTGTAAAATGGGACTTCTTTCCTTACTGTACTATGCAACCTTTCCACTTTAGGTTTGCCTGATGTGAGAGTTTTTTCATACCCATCTACAAATGACTGTGGATGATTCAAGGGTTATTACCTCATCCTACAGTGACTGGGAAAAGCAGTATGTTCCATGCTGTTCACTTTACCACCATTTTTAAGTCTTACTAAATCATTGATTTCCTTGTTCTGGATGAGTAGGATAAAGATTCCCACCATCAGGACTTCATAAAGACTTTACTGCCATCAGGCTATTTAGGAGTAGCTGTATTGGGGAATCCCTTCAACCGCACCCTGGATCTGGAGGCCATTTCATATTTTTTAATTCAATTGATCATAAATTCATCCCATTTCTAAACTGCCTTTAAAAGTAATTAATTTCACAGACATAACCAAACATATTAAATATACTACCTTTGTACGATCCACAGACACACCGAGCCCTGTTTCAAATATAACTGCAAGGAAATAGGAAGCCTTATGGTATCCACAACAACTGGAATCCACCAAGAGAGGGACAGAGGAGCCCATATTGCTGAGGCCATTGGCTCTGGTCAGACCCTTTGCAACATTCTCAAATATCCTCCGGCCAACTTCTAGAACTGTATCACTTCCATCTTCTAACAATGAAAATAAAACATAGGATGCATAGTTTTGCAAGAATTAAGATTAGGAACTGATTTCCCCTCCTTAATTTAATGGGACTGAGACAGATTCTGTTATTTCTCATGCTGAATGGTATTCTCAATGCAGACAACCAAAATTTCTAGAGATACAAGATACTATTGAATAGGAAGGGTGAATAAAAATCAAAAAGACTGTCTCAAAGTAACTAACCACTAAAAACATAAGGATATCTCTATTTCCTTCTACATAATAAGCCATTCTTCATTTGCAGCACAACATACAAGCTACATGACACTTCTTTAGGAAGTTAGCTGATATGAAAAAAAAATGTATAAAACATGAACTGAAGTCAAAGCATACTAACTTACATGACATATATTATGGAGTTATTTAAGAAACATGATTACCATCTGGAGCATTGAAATCCATCTCTTGTAACAGTTTGAACAAAGTGTGGTACTTTTCCCTGAGCTCTTTTCCCCATAAGAAGGCAGCACATTCGGATTTTTCTCCATATTTGTGAATTCGCTCCAAATAATAGTTTTCGTAGTAACCTAGAGAAAACAACCTATTTAAGACATGAAAGCTGACTTGGCTGGTCTTTAAAACAAACTTCTGGTGGAAAAAAGATGTTTCTAGGGTAAACTAAAAATTCATGGACAAGATGAGCACTTCCTCAACACAAAGCAGTGCTAAAAACTCATACAGCTAGCATAGGCCACTTACAAATACATAAGATTTCTTCTATTCTCTTCCATACTCTGGTCACAATGCATGCAATCGAATTCTAACTGGAAACATAAGCTAGTTCTCACCACACATTTTAAGTTATGTTACTCTTCTTTCACTAAAGTGGTTGCTTTGGTATAAATCTGTCAATTACTGCACATTAGGCAACTGTGACAGAGACATTCTAGCAAAACCCAATCATTTTTGTGAAAGGACTTAAAATACATGTGCCTTTAGGGTCATTTGGGAATGAAATGGAAGAAAAGCAGTTAAACAGTTCGCATGTAAGCTTGAAAGTGTTTCTTTGTCCCTTTATGCACCTGTCTTATTAGAGAAGAAATATCAAGAACATGATTTAAGTTTGTATGCCATGGCACAAAAGTCTTTGCAGGGACAAAACCACAGTTTTAGCTACCAGTAACAAGGCTAAACTGCTCAAATTGCCTTTGTTCTTGTTGTGGCTGAATTCAAGTTTACTTTTGATGATCATTATCCAGATTCTGGTAAAGGAAAGAAAACAGGTCTCGAAAGATGACAGTTTAAAATTCGTATGCCATAGAGCAACACTTACAATTTCTTTGTGCTTTTTTGCCTTGCCTTACAATATATCTGTACTCATAAACTATTTCTCGAATGTCCATACATCTCTTGTAGTAGAGTTCAATTTGTTCCACTGTTTCTTTGTCATGAAGAGGGTTAGAAATCTATAAAAAGGCAAATGATGGATAAATGGCACTTACAGTATCTGTTGTTGTCTATGCTTGGCTAGAAAGAAGTGTTGTAGGCAAATAACAAAAGGAAACGGATTTTTTACTACAATCAGCTTATCTGGCACATCATGTTAATATGCCAGACAACCTGATGCTGGCCACAATAGACTATGACTTTAAACAGTCAGCATAATCTGAGAAAACAACAAATGAACTTCCAAAATTGACCAAGCCTATGTGACTTTTACCACCAATTTCAACAATACTGTAAGTTAATCAAATGTGTTCAACAATGTATCATTAAGAACTTTGGGAAACAAAGCAATACTGAAAATAAGTCCTTATTTAAATACAGATTTAGGAACAATGCTTTACATACTCACTTATAGAAGTCTTACCTTTTAGCATTTGAAGTGGTAACTAACATTCCTAGATTTCAACAGAAAATTATCATATTTTGGTTATATATTCCCAAGTACTATTATGCTTGCTATTATGGCAAGTTTATCACTTGGTAAGAGCTTCAGCTAAAAAAAAAAAAAAATACAGCCATAGCTGGATGCTAATATTTAAACATTCCCAAATACTGCTTTTGTTTACCTGTTCTGTTTCCAACACACTGAGACGATAGTATTTCATGGGTCCAAAGAATGCTTCAATACCATTTACATATCCACTACCTCCAAGAACAAAGTATCCAGCAGTGTCATCATAATAGAAATCTTCCCTAAAACTTGAGAACATGAAAGAGAAGTAAGCTGGCTATCAAGAGGTACTGTGAAAGAAAAGAAGAAATTTGTATCTCAGAATTTCTATAACTGACAACCTTAAACTCATTGCGAGTATCTTTTTTTTTTCCTTTTCTCATCTGTTTACTCAAAATGTACTCTGTAATTTAGTGTGATAAATTCTGGAGTAAATTTAAGAAATCCTTTGTCTATAAACATATTAAATCAGCAGGGTGTTTTATTTTTCTGACCTGTAGGTATCTTCTAGTGTATTATGCATCATTATACAACTTCAAAGATTTCAGTTCCACCTCTCCCTTGCACTTTTCTAAAATGGGCATATGAAAATTTAAGTTATCTGTCTCCTTGAGTTACTATCTACAAATTTAAAATTTCTGGTTTGTAAACCATAGCAGAGAAAGAACAACACTAAAGTCTGCCATGCAATTTCCTGTTACATAGTTCCCATATGTGCATTCCAGTGCACAAGAAAGAGTCAATCTTAAATTACAGTGAAAGAGAACAATTAAAGATCAATTTAAAAAAATTATTCATTTGCTTAGAACAAAGGACAGAGCAAGAACATTTTTGGTAGAAATTTTGCTCTTCTACCTAAGCAAAGCAGATAACAATTTCACCGGTGAAATCCTAGCTCTCTCACAGCAACAGTAAAACTGCCCTTGACTTCAGTAAGACTAATACTTCTTCATTTGAAGACTGATCTTAATGCCACTGACCTTCCAATCAGTTTTCAGTGAGGGTTATAGATACTAGATCATGCAGTGCGTTAACTCAACTAGCTTATGGCATTAACGAAATTATTCAGCTCATGCTCAACGTAAGCACAGTGATGCACACTGTTTTTGAAAGCATAGAGGGGAAAAATACCACAGACATTTTGAAAATTATTTGGAATCTCAGTTACAAACTTGTGCTCTCCTTCTCCCATTTTCCATATCTGAACATATATACACATATTACTTAACAAAGGGGAAAATGCTGCTTACATAAAAGACTGATGATGATGTCTTTTCAAATTCTTCCCAACACTGCTTACTTCTATCTAAAAGAACATAAAATATTAATTAAAATAAATGAAATATTGCAAGGTACATTTATTAAGCCATTTCAGCTCATAGTTCAGAAGATTACAGCTGCAGCTTGTTGCATCTTCTCTGCACTAAAGCAGATGATGTCACATACATAATATATGTCAGAATAATTTAATGGAAAGCATTGGCACTGGTCTGTCCTGGCCAACTATGAGCAACAAAAAATAGCAAAAATAGCACAGATGTTGCCTACTTCAGCTATCTCATTCCTATGTTCAGTTACAAGATTATCTGTACTTTGCTGAAGCTTTTATTCTTCCAAAGTGTGAAAGGCCGTTTTGCTTTTACATAGCAGAGATGCTAAATGAAGAGAATATTGATCTCCTCAAGAAACTGTAGCTTACAGGTGAAGAATGGCCATAAAGCTAATGTAACAGGCCGTAATTTAAAAAAATCTGGGCTCAACTCCTGCTTCTACAGAATATGTACTTTCAGTAGACTTTCAGTGCAAGAATGGTTAAAGAAATTCAGATGCCTGAGAAGGAGTACAAGATAAGATTTTCATACACGGTGGTACTGTAAAAAGTTGCCTGAGGACTCACAAAACAACCCTGTAAAATCTTCTTAAGTGCCTAGGTATTTTTAGTGATACATCTGCATCTTCAGATGCTCTTAAAATCTGGCTTTTAATTTCTCAGTGCTTCAATTTCCCAGCCTTTACTAATTTATGTACTTTGTCTCAGATCATGCTGGCCTAAATATATCTAAATCAATGGAAGTGAAATGCAAAGCCCACCACTAAACCATGTCCCTAAGTGCCACATCTACACATCTTTTAAATACCTCCAGGGATGGTGACTTCACCACTTCCCTAGTCAGCCTGTTCCAATGCTTGACAACCCTTTTGGTGAAGAAATTCTTCCTAATATCCAATCTAACCTCCCCTGGTGCAACTTAAGGCCATTTCTTCTCATCCTATCAGTTATTACTTGGGAGAAGAGGTAGATCCCAACTTCACTACAACCTCCTTTCAGGTAGTTGTGGAGAGTGACAAGGTCTCCCGTCAGCCTCCTCTTCTCCAGGCTAAACAACCCCAGCTCCCCCAGCCACTCCTTAGAAGACTTGTGCTCTAGGTCCTTCACCAGCTTTGTTGCTCTTCTTTGGACACGAAGTGCCTAAATAAGGAGATTCTTCAGTACCTTTTGAGGATCGTAGCATTTAAAAATTTAGTACAGGAAGACGTGTCAATAAGATGGAACTGAACTACAGCTTTATTTGTCCAGAGAGTGGGTCTAAGCACTGAAATATTTTTAAGTTTGGTCCTACTTTCTCTTTTTTCCACAAGAGTGCTCATTAGACTCTTCATGGATCCCTTATTTTGTCCAGAAGTAGAAATTTATTGACCACAGGTTTTATCTCACACTTGAATAATTCATTCTGCTCTCTGATGGAAGAATAGTTTTTCTTAATCTAATCGTACAAGCAATCCTCAAATTTCAAACAAGTCAAGACTAATATACCCTGTACCAATACTGACAGTGACTTCTGCATTTGCACCTGAAGCTGAACATCAAAATCCATAGGGTCTTCCCTTTCCCACGAACTTAAATTATAACTATAATTTAAACAAGCACAAAAAGACAGTTCTGATTCTATAAAACACTTTTTTCACTTTTACTTTTAACAATGTATTTAAAAGCATACTATATTAAAAGTAAATACATGTTTCTACCTGTTTTTCTTGCAAGACAATCTGCTCACCACTTACATTCTTAAAAAAAGGTGGCATGCAAAAAGAACAGCAGTAGTTTAGCCTGTACATTGCTCTCTCAGTACAGCATTGTTTCAGCTTTTGTCAGTCATTTACCTTATACTTTAAATTTTCTTAGTTGTTCTTGCCATCAACTAGCAATTATTTTTACAATTCAGAATGTAATCAGTTCAACCATTTTCAAAGAGAAAGAAGTTGAGAAATAGAAGACAAAGGTTTTTTATTATTTTCACACTCTAATGTCTTAATAACTGGAGGTTCAGACAAGAACTTGGCAGGGAGCCTGCATTTTCAGACCTGCTTTTGGAAGGTTTTGTGAGAAAACAATTGTGATTTGTTAAAATGTAAAATATATATTTTACCTACTACAGAGGGATACTGCAATATTTTTTTTGTCTTTTAATGGTAGTCAGTTCTATGCCACTTTGTCAAATATGCAAAACTTGGAAACTGCACATGCTTCCTGTTAGCTCACAGATCTAGGCAAGAGGCATGTTATGGTACAGAAGCCCGGACACTTAAATTCTCGTATCAGAATAGTAAAAACGCCTAAGCCTCCAAGTACAAAGTCCCTCAGAGCTATTCACACCATGTAACTTAAAGTATCTAGATAAGGTATCCAAGCCAGGAGTCTTGGTTGCCTGTACAGCCAACAAAGGCTCTGGAGAGCAACAGTGTGCCAAGATAGCCGCTGAATACACAGTAATTCTAAGCTCTCATCGTAAGCATCTAAGTTGACTTCCCAAAGTCAGACGATCTGAACATCCACCAACAATTTCTAGTTTTGGATTTTTCATTCTTTTGCTATGTGAGCATGTACAAATTACAGTATTTCTCAGCCTCAGCTATTAAGGGGTTTGTCAGAGGCATAATCAAATTAGACAAATCTCAGCCTTGATCCTGTAATTCAGTAGCACGCATACCTGTCCACCCTTAAAAGACAGATCCAGTCGAAACCACTGCTTCAGAGGAAGGCTGAAGCTAGTTTTCACGGCAAGGTCGTCTCCTCTCATAAGGTGCATCTGAATATGCACGTAACCTGACAGAGCAACAAAGGAAGAAAAGGGAAATAAACACCACAGAAATATGGACATTAAGAATGGGCTTCCTAATGTAGTATTCACAGTGAGTCTGTCTTCTTCATCCTCTTCACCACCAACAGAGATGTGGGCACTGCCAAGCCATACATCAGCTCTCAGAGAAACCCAGGGAAACATGCTCCTCATTTCAGTTACACATCTTGGATGCTAATGATCAGGCTCCCACATGAAACCACAGACTCAAAACCAACTGTCTGAGGCATAAACACACCAAACATAAGGCAAACAGGCAGAATGTCGAAGTTGATCTCAAACTCCAGAAAGCAGACATGACTTGCAGCAAACAGCAGAGAGGAACAGCAGTCAATGGTGTCTGCTCAACACTCAACTGCTAGCATGTAAGAGCGCAATGATCAAGTACAAGATGACTCTGCCCTCCACTACTTGGACCTGCAGAAGCTAGACTCACAGCCTGAGCAATTAAGACCAGAACAGGCTATTATGATAATCTGGTCTAACACTCAGAATAAAACTGGCCCTAAAACCTCTCCAAGTAAATATCATATCAAGCTGATAACTTCCAGTTGACCGGACATTTTTGTTTGTTCTTCAAAGAAAAGCATCCAGTTTACAATGGATAGATAATTAAGCAGATTGGTTACCAAACAGAGAAAATGGAAACAGCAAAAATAACAGAGAGGAAAAGATTAGTTGTGAACCTTGCAAAGAAGGGGAAAAATGTAACGGCTCATGAGAAAGCCAGGTGTGCATTTTTAAAACCCTGCACATTTATTTCCTCTGTGAGCCTGCCAGCCAGCCTGCCAGCTGACTTTCATTCTGTCAAAGGCTGAAGAGCTGTCTTCTGGCAGGAATGTTCCTCTACTGCAAATGTTGCTAGACTAAGACAGTGCTACCTTTTTTTTTTTTTCTTTGATCAGTGAAATAGACTGTGCTTCTTGAACACTGCAATACAGGCAAGACCTTGAATCATTTGGACTTTTTCTGAGGCTATTTCAAATTTTCAAAAATTTTCATGTAGTATGTATATAAGAATTGAGAACAATATTAAAATAATACTTCAATAATAATAACAAAGGTTGTTCATTGAGATACAACTAATTAATCTCAGTATATGTTCCTGACCTGTAAGATTCAGTCTACTCTCCTGACAAAGTAGACATTTTCTGAAGTTAGCCAAGACTAGATGCTATGCAACTATTTCTCAGTTTAACCCTATTAATTTAGTAGCTACTTTCCTATTGAGACACTATAGTCAAAAAGGAGCATTTTGCAAGGGATCAGTTTCACAAAGCAGGTCTGATAATATATTTATAAATGTTATTCCTAGGCACAGATCTGTAAAGACTGTATTAGACCCCTTCTGATGGTCATTAATAATATCCCTTACCTTCCTCATTTAGAAATACAGCAGGAGTACTATACATTTCTTTCGGATCAATAAAATAGAGTATACCACACAGATCCTTTTCACAGTGATGGAGTAAATATAGCCAGATTGAAATGGTGAACCTGCATGAGCAAAGATAAACAAAAAATCCACTTCTGATGAGAAATGCCCCTATTTAATTTGAAAAGCATGCATTTCACTTTAATTTAGCAAACCTCTTTCACACATGCAATCTTCAGAACAGAACACATCCTCTGCAGTGAAAACCTTCGCGCAACAGTACTGAAGACTCTTGGATCTGTGATCTCCTTTTATCCACACAATTTTGTGGTAATATGAAAGGAGAGCAAGGGATCCTTATCTGAATCAATTCCAGAATGCTGGGTCAGAGCTACTGTAGATCTCACATCAAAAGAGAACTGAAAACACGACCAAGACAACTTGGAGCCCACCTCCTGTGTGCAGGCTCAGTACAAAATCCCCAAACGCATGGTCTTGTAATCTGGATTGTGGAAGCCAGTAAAAACTAAGCTCTGTCTTCTATACTAAATGCCAACTGTGAAAATGTGCTTGGGAGAAGCAGTTAAAAATGAATCCAGCCTCTGGGTAGTACAGTTAAGTATGAATAGCTGTCATCGAGCTATCACAGGACAAATAAAGGTGGAGCCTGTGCAAATTGTGGAGCAGTGCAAAATAAAAAAAGCAAAGACCCAACAACACCATCTACTTAGAAATTTCTGTACAAAGCTGGCTGAGGCACTAAAAGCAGAATTTAGACCACAGTATGTAATTTTAAGGCGTTCCTCTGTGCCAGACTAAATCTGCTTCAGTGCTCTTAACAGACACTTGACCACTTATTTCCAGAACTTTTCCATAGCAGTTAGGTCAATGCTGAATGCCTTTGAAAACCATACCTCCAATGCACAACCCAGCAAAGCATTATGATTATTACCAGCTCTGATAAGGAAGTTCTCTTTTCTTAGTGACTTTTAGAAGGAGGTATTATTTGGGTTTTGTATTTCTATAATGAAGAATAAAATGTCAATATTTGTTTATAATACTTTAGAACTGGGTCAGCTTGCCTTGCTTCTCTCTCAAGAAGTTGCTGAACAGAGTACTTTGTATCTTTTCCTAAACTGAACCAATACAGGTCTGAAAGCCTAACACCTGCTCTCCTGCTTAAAAAAAAAAATGCAAGGGTGGTGAAGTTTTCCCCAATAGAGCCTACACTTTAAATAGCTAATAACACCATATCCTCCAGAGATGGTACGTGGGTGAGGCAGAAGGGTTTGTAAATCACAAACATGTTTGTTGATTGTTATGACCTACAGGCAAACACTGTGCTTCAAAAAACACTGCTTATGTTTATATATCACTCTTTTAATTGTTCATCTCTGGTCATATGGCAAATTTAAATACCGCAGCCTCCATTTAATCTTTGATTGCCAGTCTGAGCATATAACTATTCTGGACAAATTTCTTGGGACAGAGTTTGGGACGATGCTGACTCATTTGACATCCTCCATTGCTGCAGAATGCTGTACAGCGTGAGCAGTCCCTTACAGCCCCAGCCTATCCTTGCTGTAGGCTGTCCACTGGTAGCTACCTCAAATGACAGCTGTCTATCTCCAGTCCTCTTTCTTTACAAATCCCTGACTGAAGTCAAGCCAGTAACTTCAGTTAGATCCATCTGGTTCTGTTGCGCTCTTGGTGCAGCAGGTAACCACTGCCCACATACACAGAGTTGAAGGAAAACTCTCTTCCTCTTGTTAACCGAGCTACCCCAAGCTCTCACAAAATTGCAACACACAGGCAAGGCTTTATGTTAACACTGGAGGCACCACCCAAAGGCAAGAGAGGGTGGAACTGTGTGGAGCAGGTGAAGAGCTCCATGAATTCATGCCATATATTCTCTAGCAGAGCTTGAGCACCTCAGTGCCAGAAGCAGAATGAGGCCATGCTGGTGGACAAAGGGCAGCAGGCTGTGCAAAGCAGGTTGTAACCCATCCTGAAGAGGCCATGAGCTAAAAATTGCTCTGTACTTACAACTTCAGAGCTATAGTTTGAGGGCTGGTAATTTGTATGCAACCTGTGCTATCTGGTAAGTCTTCTTTGGCATTCTTCTTGTGGTCACAGGCCAAACACAAACCAGTAGGCAAGTTCCAGTTCCTGCAATCATTTCCTATTTCTGTAATAATGTTGCCACGGTAACAGCACTTGGTGGAAGGGAGATATATTTATATATGTCTATATATACTTTTTCCTCTAAAGTTGCAAAATATTACTGGAGAGTTGTGACAGTTTTGGCAAGGGGAAGAAGAGCAGAGAAAGAGATGATCTTCCAGAGTGATTCCTCTGTAATTGAATAGTGTGCAGCAGCTAAGGGGTTTTACTCCTGTCCCACTAGGAGAGCTTACACAGTGATGGTGGAAGGAAATAGTGTAAGCTCAAGCTGGAAGACTTATCTAGGCAGGAGACCCTATCACTAAGGGCTTGTTATCTGCAAAATAAACTAGAGTGTGAATTTATAGGAGAAAAGCTGCTCCACACCGCTTGCTCTTGCAAGAAACCCTACTCTGCACTCGGTCTGCAAACGATGTTTGAAATGCAGATCTCTCTGTAATGCAGAAAACCCACGGCTACCTAGTCATGAGACAGCAGTCTGATCATGACAGCACGTAACAGCCAACTTACCCTCCTAATTGTACCTAACCAGCTCAGTTAAACCTACTATTGGTATGTCTTACACAGCACTGCACTAACACCTACTGTAAGTATCTTCCCGAGGTTCACAAAATAACAGAATCACAGAATGGTCGGGGTTGGAAGGGACCTCTGGAGATCATCTACTTCAACCTTCTGCCAAAGCAGGTTCACCTACAGTTCAGCTTAATCCTCTCCAAAACTGAAATCAGAGAACAGAAAGAAATTGCTAACTAGTTTTGTTTTGAGCCTTTTCTCAAATTAGTAGGCAGTATTCCTTTAATTTGTGGTACAGCCTAAAAAGCTTAAGTATGTCCTATAGCCTTCAATAATCAGTTACAGTCTGCTTCTATTATTTGCCTATACTTACATGGGATAATCAATCTGTTGTTGTCTGACTGTCTCAAGCTCTCTGTTTTCAAACTGTTCAAATTTCTTCACAATTCCTGTTTTGTCCCCACTGGAAGCGTATATAAAGCTGAGAATCTGGACACCATCTGCAAAATACAATCATCCTTAATCTGTCAGACAACAAACATTGATAACTAATTAATTAGCTCACACGCATACAGTCAAACATTTGAATCACACAACAGATTAATAATTAACACAAATCTTCAATAAATCCTCAAATACAAGTTCACTCGCTGTTATTATGTACATTACAGTCTTGGACAAATAACCCATGGGAAGTGAAATGGAGTCCATTTCCAGCTGGTATTAGAAGCAGGGAAAGAACAGATGCATTTAAATCTGAGATACTTGAAGAACCAGTTAGTAAGGAAGAAATCTTCATTTATGTTATTCGCTTAAATCTCATCCTATCTTTGGTTATGCCTACATGACACTACTCCACAGCTCTTGGACTTGCTCTTCATTTTCAGCTTTCCAGTTTATACTGTACGTATGGATAGATATCAATTCTGTTCTTAAATTATATGCATAATCCTGTAATAAATCTGATAAAGCTGCCCCTGCTAAGAAACAGGAAAAAGATCTTCAAGGCCATGACATATCATCAGCTTTCCTAGGAAAAAAAACCCCAAACCAAACAAACTATAAAAAAAACAACAAGAAAACCCAAGCAATTCATTACAAGCTTATTTTAAAAAATAAATTTGAATAAAATGTTATTTCTTCCTATTTCTTGTTATACTGCTTTCATCTATAATATTAGATAATACATAAGATGTTTCACACTGCTGTCAGAGATCACATGCTGTCTCCAAAGAGTATTTTAGAAAGACCCTGGAGGAAGCAACATCATTGCTTCCCTGTTCATCTTCAGAGCATTTACATGCCAATGTAGTGAAAATAAATGACGCAAATACCATTATGGGATTTTCTAGCAGAGAACCCTTTAGAAGCAAATAATCTCTTTCCTTTTAGGTTCTGCTTTGAATGTGTATTGAGGACAAAAAGAATTGTCAGCAGTTGTAAAGTTATAGATAGGCAGACAGAAAAAAAATCAGAACTCAGAGAAAATCTAGAAAGCAGAGTTGTGAGTTTCAGTAATTTATACAGTTGGCAAGACTCTTTTTTTTATTTAAAACTATTAATTTTAAAAAAAAAAGTACTTGTCCATAATGGTTTTCAGAAAAAGAGAAAAGAAGTACTATAAAGTTTATTGCACTATAAAGACTTAAAAACATATTTGTGTGGCCACCAACTTCAGCAGAAGTAGATTACCTGTGTGAGAATTAGGTATGTAAGAATTGCAGGACTGACCCTGAAATAATGCAGTAAGAGACCGAACAACTCTCTGAAGACAAAGGAACGATGCCCAATGACATCAGTGGGTTTTAAACAGAGTTCTTTGAATACACTTAGAAAACAGAAGGCCATGCTGCTACAAATCTCCAGGCTGGCTGTGATGAAACATGCCAGCTCTGAAGGACATGATGGCTTCAGTCATCTGCAACTCTAACCCCACTGTTATGAAGCTTACCTATTCAACGTTTGCCAAGTAAATTATTCACAAGTGGCATTTCCCAGGGCTCAGTATTGGGGCCAGTTCTCTTTAGTATCTTTATCAATGACTTGGACGAGGGCATTGAGTGCACCCTCAGTAAGTT